AGCACCTGTAGGGACAGAAGCAAACAGAGCTAAAAGGGGCCCAATTCCTCCCTGCCTCACCCCTCATGCTTCTGGCACCAAAACGAGAGCCTTGCACTCTGCCGTGCACCCGGAAGCATTTGACATCCATTGTCGCCTGGTATAAATGACACAGAAGCTGTAAGGCAATGAAAGATCAGGCCCAGCATCTCTAAATTCAGGTGACTCAGCCTGCTTGTTTGAACATGGTGCCTCATGCAGAGAGAATCCATCCTGGGTACCAACCCTGGAGAAGGAACTGGAATCCATCCACGCAACTAGTGGCATCTGCTACCCCTGCAGTGGAACAACCAAGCTGTGTGAACTTCTTCTGTTTCACAAGCGGCTCATGCGAACCTCTCTTTCGCTATGGCTCATATGGAATCGAGTTTCCTGAGGACAGATTTGTGTTCAGGGCTTGAGTTCACTGTGGAGATAATACACTCTTTAATATTGCCCCTCCTGGAATACTGTACTGCCAAAGGAGCCATTACATCATTTATGCGAACAGAATAGATTTGTATAAAGCCCTTAAGTATGCATTTTAGAAATGGTTCGGCCACACCGGGTACAATGTAAGCCAGCTGAGATTATGGTTCCATATTTAAGGCATTTAACTGATTGTGATGTCAAGTTAATATTGGAAGTAGAAGGGTTTCTTCTGCTTACTTCAGGGAGTGCCAGAAAAAGTATACCTGTTGTAAGCATTTTTAATCTGTCCATTACTGTGATATACAGGTATGGTATGGAAAAGTTTCAAGCGTCCTTTAATGTAACTGAGGCAAAAAGCAGAGCAGGTTCCAAAGAGGATTTATGGTGGGGTAAAAAAATCAATTATTTGCTGGAAGACTGCGGAAAAACTTGAGCGATGCACAGGGCTTTGAGTGGAGCCTTGGACACTGGGGGTGGGGCGGAATTTCACCCTCCAGTATATAACTAAGCTAGAGTAAAAATGACAAGGACCATCAATCCTTATGCTACCGGGCAAATCTTGACCCTTAACCAAGGTAAGGAAGATCTCTCTTCCCCATTATAACGCAAAGCTGCATATTTAACGTGGTGCATCAGTACTTGGCATTGACCACTGGGCGAGAGGAGACGCTGGATTTCATAGAATCTTAGAATCCCAGGGCGGGCAGAGACCACAGGAGTCATCGAGTCCAGCCCCCTGCCCAAGGCAGGACCAACCCCAACGCAATCATGCCAGCCAGGGCTTTGTCCAGCCAGAACTTAAACACCTCTAGGGATGGAGATTCCACCCCTCCCTAGGGAACCCATCCCAGTGCTTCACCCCCCTCCTAGGGAAATAGCTTTTCCCAATATCCAACCTGGACCTCCCCCGCTGCAACTTATTGCTCCTTGTTCTGCCATCCATCACCACTGAGAACATCCTCTCTCCCTCCTTCAGGTAGTTAAAGGCTGCTCTCAAATCCCCCCCTCACTCTTCTCTTCTGCAAACTAAATAAGCCCAAATCCCTCAGCCTCTCCTCGTAGGTCATGTGGTCCAGCCCCCGAATCATTTGTGTTGCCCTCCATTGGACTCTCTCCAATGTGTCCATATCCTTTCTGCAGTGGGGAGCCCAGAATGGACACAATACTCCAGATGTGGCCTCACCAGAGCCCAATAAAAGGGAACAATCACTTCTCTAGATCTGCTGGCAATGCTCCTCCTAATGCACTCCTAATATGCCATTTGATGCAATAATTATCTGTCCCTATCTGACAATTCTTCTGGCCTGTAAAATCTCATTATTGTCCTTGACATTGCAACAGAGTGAATGTAACTGAAGATCAGGGACATTTCCATTGGACTTTCAGCAATTTCAAGCTTCTGCTTTTAAAACAGCAGGAGGGCTGGTTTAGTCTCCCAGAGAGACGTTCTCAATATCCAGGCCCACTCTCTGCTCTTGCTAGGCCCTGGATTGTTTTGACAAATGTAACTGAGGCTGTGTCTAGACTACATGGCTCCGACGACGGAGCCATGTAGATTAGACAGATAGGCAAAGGCAAATGAAGCCGCGATTTAAATGATCGCGGCTTCATTTAAATTTACATGGCTGCCGCGCTGAGCTGACAAACAGCTAATCAGCTGTTTGTCCGCTCAGCGCGCTAGTCTGGACGTTCCCCCTGTCGACATCAAAGCCCTTTATCGGCAGCCCTGTTATTCCTCGTGGGATGAAGTTTACCGGGGCTGCCGACAAAGGGCTTTGATTTAAATCGCGGCTTCATTTGCCTTTGCCAAAAAAACAAATCTACATGGCTCCGTTGACGGAGCCATGTAGTTTAGACGTACCCTAAATGTCCATACAAGCAGTGGCAAAATAGTGGTCAGTACAAGAGGGAGACTGCAAACTACATTTTCCCAGTTGTTATTTAGCACTTCAATTAATCATGTGCAACTAGGATCCAATTTGACTTTTAACCTAAGTCATAGAATCATAGACAATTAAGGTTAGAGGAGATCTAGTGGGGTTAGAGGAGATCAAGTCTCACCCCCTGCTCAAAGTCAGACTAACTCCAACCAACTCATCCCATCCAAGGCTTTGGCAAGTCTCGCCTTAAAAACCTCGAAGGACAGAGATTCCCCCACCTCCCTAGGGAACCCATCCCAGTGCTTCCCCACCCTCCGAGGGAAATCGTTTTTCCTGATATCAAACCCAGACCTTCCCCACTGTAATTTGCTCTCAAATCCCCCCTCGCTCTTTTCTTCTGCAGACTAAATAAGCCCAAATCCCTCAGCCTCGTTTTGTAGGTCATGTGCGCTCCAGCCCCCTCATCCTTTTCGTTGCCCTCCACTGGATTCTTACCAATTTGTGCACATCCTTTCTGTAAGGAGGGTCTCAAGATGTGTCCTCACCAGAGCCAAATAGAGGGGAATAATCACTTTTCTCGACCTGCCGGCAATGCTCCTCCTAATGCACCCCCAATATGCCATTAGCCTTCTTGGCAACAAGGGCATCCTGGGGACTCACATCGAGTGCTCATCTACTGTCATCCCCAGGGCCTTTTCTGCTGAACTGCTACTTAGCCAGTTGGTCCCCAACCTGCAACAATACTTGGGATTCTTCCATTCCCAGTGCAGGACTCTGCACTTGGCCTTGTCAAACCTCATCAGATTTCTTTTGGCCCAACTCTCCAATTTGTTTAGGTCATGTCCCTCCCCTACCTTTCCCTGTGGGTGGGGGGACTTGCTGAGAGTGCTTGAAGTTGCTGAGGGTGAAAACCATCCCATCATCTAGATCATTAATGAAGATGTTCCAAGAGGACATCGTTCCAAAGAGGATGGAGAAAGGCTGTTCCCAGTAGTGACGGATGGCAGAACAAGGAGCAATGGTCTCAAGTTACAGTGAGAGAGGTCTAGGTTGGAGATTAGAAAAACCTATTTCACTGGGAGGGTGGTGAAATACTGGAATAGGTTCCCGAGGGAGGTGGTGGACTCTCCATCCCTAGGGATTTTAAAGTCTCGGCTTGACAAAGCCCTGGCTGGGTTGACTGAGTTGGGACTGGTCCTTCCTTGGGCAGGGGGCTGGACTTGATGACCTAATTTGTCCTAATTTGTCTCTTCCAGCCCTGGGATTCTATGTTGAACAAAACTGGCCCCAGAACTGACCCTTGGGGCACTCCGCTTGATACTGGCTGTTAACTAGACATTGAGCCATTGACCACTACCTGCTGCGCCCAACTTTCTATCCACCTTACAGTCCATTTATCCAATCTATATTTCATTAACTTGCTCACAAGAATTATGTGGGAGACGGTATCAAAAGCTTTGCTAAAGTCAAGGTATATCACATCCACCACTTTCCCCATGTTCACAGAGCCAATTACCTCACCATAGAAGGCAATCAGGTTGGTCAGGCTTGACTTGCCCTTGGCAAATCCATGCTGACTATTCCTGATCACTTTCTGCATCTCCAAGTGTTTAAAAATAGATTCCCAGGCTAGGGAGGGAAGTCATGTAGCTGGTGTTCCTCCATGTCCTCCCTCACCAGACACCCCTGCCAACTCGGATTTTCCAAAAGAAATGAAATGCAGTAGGCACCCACCTCCCACTGACCTCTACTTTCAATTGATTTAATATCCATAGGCACAGGCATTGGAAACCTTGCTGCGTGGGTGAGGGACTGCCAGTGGAAGGTTTGCCCTTTAACAATTTCCCCACATGGAACTTCAACCCCAAGTTTAGACAGAGAATCTTGCCATCCAGGAGAACTAAAAGTCTCTCCCATCCTTGGTTTACCATATTCTCCAAGCCTCTCTAATGATGTGGTCATAAAATGGTAGAAGGAAATTTCTTGTAAGGGATCAGTTGAGTCCTCCAATTGCAACATGGTGTTCAGCTCTGGTGTCCAAATCTAATTGTGTTTTGCTCACCTAATTTGTGGGCAAGAGCGAAGTGAAAGAACTTTGTACCTTTATTAATAATTGACACAATTTGTCCTAATTCAGAGTGTATGGGATGTCTCCACAGTACCCTTATCTCGAAATAAGATATGCAATTTGTGCAATGCTAATTGCGTATCTTATTTTAACTTTATTTTGAAATAAGCTATTTTGAAATTTGGTGCTGCACCAACATGCACCAAATTTCAAAATAAAGGGCTATTTCAAAACATCCCCTAACCCTTATGGAATGAGGGTTACTGGGATGTCGAAATAGCATGCCCGTTATTTCTTGTGAAGATGTGGGGCAACTATTTCAGGTATCCCAAAATAGCTCTGCTGTGTAGACATACCCTATAACTGCAGATCTAATATACAATATAGGGATAAGTGGTCTATGAGAAACATTCAGCTTTTAGCCAGGCACAGAAGAAGAGGGGAAAATCTCTTAAATCACTTAACACCGAGAACAATGACTTGAGAGAAAACAAAACCTCGTTTGCTCATGTCACGGGTTAACTGAACAGGTTCTTCCCCATTCTCCTTCCAACAGACAAATGTGATTTGCACTCATCAAGAAAGAAGTTAAAAAATCTCACCTGTTGTTCAAAGATTATTTCAATGAATATCAACAGCATCTCCATGATGAAAATCACCAGAAGGACCCAGAAGAACTGCACAGAAAAGAAACAGCAGGCCATTACTATTATTCTAGTCAAAGATGCATTCACTCTGACTCATTACACTGGTCATAAGGCATGAACAAAAGGTGTTGTTGTAACCCACACACGTGCTGGGCGTGGTGCACTGTCCCACCTATGGCACTTAGACCACTTACAGAGAAAAAGCATGAGTTTCGTCTACAGTCTTAGCTGAGAGCCAATCCATGCACTAAGCTCCAGAGGTCCCAGGTTCGGTTACGCTTGTCGGTGATACATAATTACTTCTATCAAATTATTATTTGAAGAAATATTAGGGGGTTATACCACAAATATATATATATATATATATATATATATACACACACATACACACACACAAACATTTTTCATGAAGAGCCGTAAAGCCCATTACATACTAGTTATATACTATGGATTGCTTCGCCCACCAAAGAGACTTGGGGCAGCCTACACTACAAAATTAAGCTGACCTAAGTAACATCGATGTACAGCCATACCAGTTACTGAATGGCTTTTGCACGTCCGCACTACGCTCCTTCAGTCAGCGTAGCTTCTCGTCCCAGCTTGTGTGGGGCATTGTGGGATAGCTTCTAAAAGGCGGCACCGGTTGATGTGAGCAACACAGCATCTGACGATGCGTCAGCCTCACAACATTGACTTATGCACTAAAAATGTTGTTACGGCAAGCTACATGGGTGGGCGCTGCATTTTAGTGTCAATGCTTCCAGACGTAGGTCAATGTAAGCGGCTTTATGATCTGACACTTCTAGTCTAGACAAGGTCCTTGTCATAGTAATGGAAAGGAGAAAAGGAAAGGAAAAATGTGCCATCCCACTTGGAGTAGACAGATTTCAGGGAGTCAAAATATAAGGACTCCACTGGATTCCAGCTAGGGCTCTAGCATTAACACTCCTACTTTTACAAAATCTGCCACGAGGAGACATTTATATTTTAATGAGAAACTCTCTCAAAGTGTTAATCAGTGTAGCATCTAGGTGCTCATCAGGGGAGGGGCTAGGACACCCCTACACTCACCGGTGGAGTGTACAGATCAGCATCTAAGCACACAGGCAGGCGAGAAGCCAGCAGACCAAGAAGGAGATGAGAATTGGTCAGAGCACTGATCGCAATTTGTGTGCCCACATATTCATGACATCTTATTAACTGTAACTGCATGGTGGCAGCAGTGCTTAGCATGAATCTATTTCTAATATCCTCATTATGCCTCTGCTTTTATTGCTTGTCCTTCTGATACGTCTGAGTCAATGTTATTGCTCCTCGCGATAACAGTTAATGTAATGAAACACTCCCAAGAGTGATTTACTCCTGGTTTCTTCTCACAGGATACAAGATACCAGCTAGTTCATCACCGACTTGCTTTATTGTCACTGACCAGGGCCTCCTAGGATGTGGCTTCTCATTCCACAAGCAGGATCTTTAAACGTGTCTCGCCGCAACATTCCGTCCTCCCCCAAAATCATTTTGTTTCCTTTATGAAGGCCTGATCCTATGCCACTGAGCTCAGGGGCAATTTTGCCATGGATTCCAATGCGAGTGGGAGCAGACCCCAACTCTCCTGCTGCATGCATTGACCTATTAGCCCAGTGTAGTGGGGCAGCTGGATGGGGTTAAAACAGATTGAAGGGAGCCTGTGCAGAGCCCCGGCCAATCAAGGAGAGGCTTATAAGAAGCCAATCAGGGAGAGGCTTGTAAGAAGCCAATCAGAGGGTGGCTTCCTCGGGAAGCCCTGCTTATAAGGAGCTGCTCAGCAGAGCAGTGAGCAGTTGGGCCCTGACCAGGGAAGGTGCTGAGCTTGGGGAAGCAGATCAAGAGAGGTCCAGCTTGTCACCTGCTAGGCTGTAAGCCTTGTAAGGGCCAAGGCAGTGCAAGAGGCCAAAGGAAAGTGGCCCAGGCAGTGAGAGGCAGTAGAGAAGAGTGAAGAAGAGCAGGACAAGGCTGTTGCCAGAGGGTCTATGGGCTTGAACCCAGAGAAGTGGGTGGGATTGGGTCCCCCTTTCCCCTTTACACCACACTGTGCAACACTAAAGCATGGCCCTTTATAGGCTGTGGCTTGCCCCTGAGGTGAAGGGCTGGACTTCGGGGCTGCAGTTGGCCTTGGTCGCAGAAGGTGAGACTCAGGACTGCTGGTATCTCCAGAAGTGGGTGAGAGACCGGAGTAGTGAGCACTGCTGCAGGGCAGTGTCCTGAAGAGGACACTGTGGTCCTGGGAGCAATGCGGGTCCAGAGCTAGAGCGTGGAGAGAGCACAGAGCGATGGCGGGAGAGACACTAGGAGAGGGCGCCTTGTTGAGTATCAGAACTAATTCCCAGAGTGATCAGCAGGAGGCGCCACGATGGTGCGCCCACCTCGTTACACCCAGATATTGCCAGAATTTATGCTCCTATGTCCTAAATCTGTGTTTCTCCACCTTTTCAGGTAGACAAGCACGTATTGGAACCAAAAAGTGTTCCCGATCCCCTACTTATATTTACTTGTAAGAACGAAACACTGCAACCGAGAGAAGCCTACGCAGTGTCATGGCGTGTGCTCTGAGACGCTGACCGAGAACATCTGACTTCGAAGGGCGAGGGGATTAGGATTACAGTCTAAAGCAAAGCACATCTAAAAGTGCACCCCAGCTGTGTGCCTTCCAGGTCCCCACTGGGGGTCCCAACCCCAGTGTTGAGAAATACTGTTTGGCCTAATTGACAGCTGCTTCTCAGACACTCGGACTGCGACACCTTCTCTGCTACACGGTGCCCTGGGCTTAGGGAATTTAAATGCCAGAGAAATGATCGCTAAAAAAAACGTATTTTATTCCTACAAAACCCACGAGGTGTCAATGCAACTGTAATAAGCAGAAGATAGCCCAACAGGGACATCACCAGAACCCCATTACACAAAGGGCTAACTCTGCAGCGTCCCTTTATACAGGCAGCCAGAGGAAAGGCTGGATAAGAGGGGCTGGAGAGAGAGGAGAAAGAATGCCTGGAAGAAATGCCAGCTCATCCCAGCCGGAATCTCTCCTGGCCAGCACTCACTAGGGATGTAAAAGAGCAGTTGAACAGTCGACTACCCGATTAGCCTAGGCTTATGGGGTAATCGAGTTGACTACTCACATTCTCTCCCACCTGCCTGCTGCCTCTATATCAGAGGCAACAAGAGCAGGGGGAGAAGTAGGAGCCAGTGCTGGAGGGAGCTGTCTTAAAAGCCAGGTGGCTCTTACTAAATTTAAAAGTCAGAGCTGCATCGGAGTTAGCTGCCATCCGGCTCCTACTACATTGCAACTGCAGAGCTGCAGACGGGGTAGTGAGCCCCCTCCTTATCAATTAACCGAGTAGTCGATGGAAATTCCGATGATCTGATTATCTGAAATGTCACATCCGTAGCTGTTATCTGTATTGAGCTTCTGCCAAGCCGTCCCACCAGTTCAGGCCATGTCTATGCTAGGAACAAGATGTGCTTTTCAACACGTTAGCTAAAATCCTAGTGCAGACCAAGCCAGCTGTAGTTTTAACACGAGTTACCTTGTTGAGGTTAACCCTACCCTGCTGTTAAGCCTGGCCTTGGCCACTATCACATTAAATACAGCTTGCCCTGTCTACATTAGAATAGAAACACATGTTAGATAATAAACTGATAAGAACAGATACTAAGAACATAGGAATGGCCAGACTGCATCAGAGCAAAGGTCCACCGAGCCCAGCATCCTGCCTTCCAACAGTGGCCAATGCCAGATGCCCCGAGGGAGTGAACAGAACATGGAATCATCAAGCGATCTCACCCGTGTCACCAATTTCCAACCTCTGACAAACAGAGGCTAGGGATACCATCCCTACCCATCCTGGCTAATAGCCATCAATGGACCCAACCTCCATGAATTTGTCTAGTTCTGTTTTAAACCCTGTTAAAGTCCAGGTCTTCACAACATCCTCTAGCAAGGAGTTCCACAGGTTAATTCTGGGCTGCATGAAGAAAAACTTCCTTTTGTTTTAAACCTGCTATCTATTAATTTCATTTGGTGGCCCTTAGTTCTTATGTTATGGGAATAAGTAAATAACTTTTCCTTATTCACTTTCTGCATTCCTGTATGCAGTATTCAAGATGTGGGTGTATCATGGATTTATAGAGAGGCACTAATATATTCACTGTTTTATTATCTGTCCCTTTTTACACTATTCCTAACATTCTATTTGCCTACTGATGCCCATAGAGTGGATGTTTCAGAGAACTATCTACAATGACTCCAAGATCTCTCTCTTGAGTAGCAAAAGCTAATTTAGTCCCCATCATTTTGTATGTAGAGTTGGGATTATATTTTTCAATATGCATTATCAACATGAAATTTCATCTGCCATTCTGTTGCTGAATCATCTAGCTTTGTGAGACACTTTTGAAGTTCTTCACAGTCAATTTTGGACATCACTGTCTTGAGCAGTTTAATATCATCTGCACATTTTGCCATCTCACTGTTTACCCTTTCTCCAGATCATTTATGAATATGTTAAATAGGATTGATCCCACTATGGACTCCTGCGGAACACCACTAGTTACTAGTTAGAGGCAAATAGGATGCTAGGAATTATTAAGAAAGGGATAGAAAATAAGACACAGAATAACTTACTGCCCCTGTATAAAACTATGGTACGCCCACATCTTGAATACTGTGTACAGATATGGTCTCCTCACCTCAAAAAAGATATTTTGGCCTTGGAAAGGGTTCAGAAAAGGGCAACTAAAATGATTAGGGGTTTGGAACGGGTCCCATATGAGGAGAGGCTAAAGAGACTGGGACTTTTCAGTTTAGAAAAGAGGAGACTGAGGGGGGATATGATAGAGGTCTATAAAATCATGAGTGGTGTGGAGAGGGCTGATAAAGAAAAGTTATTTATTAGTTCCCATAATAGAAGAACTAGAGGACACCAAATGAAATTAATGGGGAGCAGGTTTAAAACTAATAAAGAAAGTTCTTCTTCACACAGCGTGTAGTCAAC